GCCCCAGTGCCACCGCCCGCATGCGTCACGCAGACCAATTTCGGCACACGCCTCACACGTTTCGTGGCCCCATAGGGAGCTCCACCGAAGGTCCCAGTGCCACCGCCCGCATGCGTCACCCATTCGCATTCCGGCACACCCCTCACATGTTACGTGGCCCCATAGGGAGCTCCACCGAAAGCGCCAGTGGCTTCGTTCGCATGCGCCCACTGCACCCATTTCGGCACACCCATCGAATTACACGCGTCGCGGCGCCATAGAGAGCTCCACCGACCGTCCCAATGGCTGCCTTCGCATGCGCTCACCGCACTTATGACGACTGCATATGGTTGGGTCCTTCGCCAGGCTAATTTTTTGTTGACGGTTCCGGGGCCCGGCGAGGGCCCCTGGAGGCCGAAAGCGTCGAGGTCCCAGGGCCTGGTGGCCCTCTTGAGGTCCCAGGGCCCGGCGAGGGCCCCGTTTGCACAGACAAGGGTCCTTGCAAACGGGGGTCAGTCAGGGCGCCGCATCTTGCAGGATCCTGCAGGGCCAGCAGGACCCTGCAGGAACTCTGCAAAGCCTGACTGGCCTGGGTCTGGCTTGACCCGGGTCAGCAGATCCCCGAGGGGTGGCCTTCCCGAGAATCGGCAGGAACGACATGGGTACAGAAAGAATGGGCACGATGCCCATCAGCAGTTCCTGATCATTTTTTGCAGGGCTCGCTGTCCGCGCCGCCGCGGGCGTTGCCCAGTAGAACAGAAGGCCGCCTGCCCAACATCGGGAAGTGTCTGGCCAAGGGGGGGGGCCTGCCGAGAATCGGCACGAGGGGGAGGACGAGGAGGAGGGGGAGCACAAGGTGGAGGACGAGGACGAGAAGGAGGAGGACGAGGAGGACGAGGAGGAGGACGAGGAGGAGGAGGAGGAGGAGGAGGAGGACGAGGAGGAGGACGAGGAGGAGGAGGGTACTGCAGGACTTGCTGCCCGCGCCGCAGCGTGCGTTGCCCATATAGTACAGAGGGCCGCCTGCCCAGCAGCGGCCGCGGTCGGTTTTGGACAGCACTTGTTGTGAGCATCGTGCCCAGTTGTTCCGTACTCCAGATGTCGTAATAAAGGGAGGGGGGTCTCACTTCGGGGGGGGGTCTCTTCCAGGCTATCTTGGAGGGCCTGGGGGGTCTGGGGACGATGTTTTGGAGGGTTCTCCCGCGGGGGAGGTCTGAAATGGCTTGTCTTGGAGGGTCCAGACCCCCTCCCTTTTATTACGAAGTCTGGAGTACTTATTTCGAGCGTCCAAAGAGAAGGTTGGGGGATGTTTCCCAAGGGATCGGAGGCGTGTGGAAAGTTCTCTCGGAAGATTGGATGGCCTCCAAAAAGCTCCCCCCACACCTTCTTAGCAGGCCACCCTTTAGGATGCAACTCCTGGGAGGTTGATTTTCAGCATCCGATATATCTGTGGTCGATAGCCGCCCCAATCTGGCATAGCGAAGTGGCATCCCGCCTAACCCCCCCTACCCTGGCTGAATCGGGCTTACTACTGGGCTCAATCTGGGCTGATCTGGCCCAGTTGCCCTTCGTCGGGCTTCATCGCCTTCAGTCGTTACTGCGGAGACGCTGTCTCCTAACCTTCTCCTATGTCCCTCCTTCTTGCCCCCACCCCGTTGGGTATGCCGGCAGACCTCCCCCCTTCCGCTCCTCGCGCGCGACAAGGTGTTCTTGTGCATCGAGCGGTCTTTTTGATATGTTCCAAACGTGTAGGATCGGTTGGGTTCTTCGCCAGGGTAATTCCGAACCATCCTGTGGTGTTGGGTCCTCGTTTTGAAGAGACGGTCCCGCGTTCCGTCCTTCCTTCCTTCCTTCCTTCCTTCCTTCCTTCCTTCATTCCTTCCTTCCTCCTCCCCCCCTCCCTCCTCCCGTCACCACCCTCACTTTGGCACAGCCCTCACGCGTTTCGTGGCCACCATCGGGAGCTCCACCGAAGGCCCCAGTGTCACCATCCGCATGCGTCACGCACACCCATTTCGGCACACCCCTCAGATGTTTCGTGGCCCCATAGGTAGCTGCCTCGAAGGTCCCAGTGCCACCTCCCGCATGCGTCACGCACACCCATTTCGGCACGCCTCTGAAACGCTTCGTGGCCCCTTAGGGAGCTCCACCGAAGGTCCCAGTGCCACCGCCCGCATGCGTCACGCACACCCATGTCGGCACACCCCTCAGATGTTTCGTTGCCCCATAGGGAGCTGCCTCGAAGGTCCCAGGGCCACCGCCCGCATGATGCGTCACGCGCACCCATGTCGGCACACCCTTCACACGCTCCGTGGCCCCACAGTCAGCTCCACCGAATGCCCCAATGCCACCGCCCGCATGCGTCACGCACACCCATTTCCGCACACCCCTCTCACGTTTCGTGGCGCCATAGGAAACTTCACCGAAGGCCCCAGTGCCACCGCCCGCATGCGTCGCGCACACGCATGTCCGCACACGCCTCACATGTTTCGTGGCCCCTTAGGGAGTTACACCCAAGGCCCCAGTGCCGCCGCCCGCATGATGCGTCACGCGCTCCCACGTCGGCACACCCTTCATACGTTTCGTGGCCCCATAGGTAGCTCCACCGAAGGCCCCAGCGCCACCGCCCGCATGCGTCACGCACGCACACCCATGTCGGTAACCCCTCACAAGTTTCGTGGCCCCACAGGGAGCTGCACCGAAGGCCCCAGTGCCACCTTCCGCATTCGTCACGCACACCCATGTCGGCACAACCTTCATACGTTTCGTGGCCCCACAGGGAGCTCCACCGAAGGTTCTAGTGCCACCGCCCACATGCCTCAAGCACACCCACTTCGGCACACCCATCACACGTTTCCTGGCCCCATTGGGACGGAGCTGCACCGAAGGCCCCAGTGCCACCGCCCGCATGCGTCACGCAGACCAATTTCGGCACACGCCTCACACGTTTCGTGGCCCCATAGGGAGCTCCACCGAAGGTCCCAGTGCCACCGCCCGCATGCGTCACCCATTCGCATTCCGGCACACCCCTCACATGTTACGTGGCCCCATAGGGAGCTCCACCGAAAGCGCCAGTGGCTTCGTTCGCATGCGCCCACTGCACCCATTTCGGCACAACCATCGAATTACACGTGTCGCGGCGCCATAGAGAGCTCCACCGACCGTCCCAATGGCTGCCTTCGCATGCGCTCACCGCCCTTATGACGACTGCATATGGTTGGGTCCTTCGCCAGGCTAATTTTTTGTTGAGGGTTCCGGGGCCCGGCGAGGGCCCCTGGAGGCCGAAAGCGTCGAGGTCCCAGGGCCTGGTGGCCCTCTGGAGGTCCCAGGGCCCGGCGAGGGCCTCGTTTGCACAGACAAGGGTCCTTGCAAACGGGGGTCAGTCAGGGCGCCGCATCTTGCAGGATCCTGCAGGGCCAGCAGGACCCTGCAGGAACTCTGCAAAGCCTGACTGGCCTGGGTCTGGCTTGACCCGGGTCAGCAGATCCCCGAGGGGTGGCCTTCCCGAGAATCGGCAGGAACGACATGGGTACAGAAAGAATGGGCACGATGCCCATCAGCAGTTCCTGATCATTTTGTGCAGGGCTCGCTGTCCGCGCCGCCGCGGGCGTTGCCCAGTAGAACAGAAGGCCGCCTGCCCAACATCGGGAAGTGTCTGGCCAAGGGGGGGGGCCTGCCGAGAATCGGCACGAGGGGGAGGACGAGGAGGAGGGGGAGCACAAGGTGGAGGACGAGGACGAGAAGGAGGAGGACGAGGAGGAGGACGAGGAGGAGGACGAGGAGGAGGAGGAGGAGGAGGAGGAGGACGAGGAGGAGGACGAGGAGGAGGAGGGTACTGCAGGACTTGCTGCCCGCGCCGCAGCGTGCGTTGCCCATATAGTACAGAGGGCCGCCTGCCCAGCAGCGGCCGCGGTCGGTTTTGGACAGCACTTGTTGTGAGCATCGTGCCCAGTTGTTCCGTACTCCAGATGTCGTAATAAAGGGAGGGGGGTCTCTTTTCGGGGGGGGGTCTCTTCCAGGCTATCTTGGAGGGCCTGGGGGGTCTGGGGACGATGTTTTGGAGGGTTCTCCCGCGGGGGAGGTCTGAAATGGCTTGTCTTGGAGGGTCCAGACCCCCTCCCTTTTATTACGAAGTCTGGAGTACTTATTTCGAGCGTCCAAAGAGAAGGTTGGGGGATGTTTCCCAAGGGATCGGAGGCGTGTGGAAAGTTCTCTCGGAAGATTGGATGGCCTCCAAAAAGCTCCCCCCACACCTTCTTAGCAGGCCACCCTTTAGGATGCAACTCCTGGGAGGTTGATTTTCAGCATCTGATATATCTGTGGTCGATAGCCGCCCCAATCTGGCATAGCGAAGTGACATCCCGCCTAACCCCCCCTACCCTGGCTGAGTCGGGCTTACTACTGGGCTCAATCTGGGCTGATCTGGCTCAGTTGCCCTTCATCGGGCTTCATCGCCTTCAGTCGTTACTGCGGAGACGCTGTCTCCTAACCTTCTCCTAGGTCCCTCCTTCTTGCCCCCACCCCGTTGGGTATGCCGCCAGACCTCC